CAGACTAGGCAATAAATAGTAATTGTACTAAATAGGTTAAATAGGTGAATCTATTATAACATAAGAAAAACTACTATAAATCAACAGTTATAGCCTTCATACATTAATGTTTATTCAGGAAAAATGTCCATGTATATCCTAATACTCAATACCGAATAAAAAAGTCTGTCTGTCTGTCTGTCTGTCATCCATGTTTGTGGTTTATTTTCATATTGGTGGCATTAAGCATTTTTGTAAATTGCAAAGATCACATCTTTAGAATCAAAGAATATCTGTTGGATATGCTTGGTTAAAAGTTAAAGTAAGCAAAAGCGAGTGGCAAAACCATGTTTTTCAAGCTATCATACATTAAAATAATAAGACTAAATGACATACCAATTTCCAATATGTTTTTAGTGGGTGTATACAGTGAACCAGAGGGTGAGATGATATGCCTGTTTCAAGGCCAAGAGGGTGGAGTCACCCACATAATTTTTTCTCCAGATGGAACCAAACTTTATAGTGGTGGAAGAAAGGTAAAGATGTTCATGTACTACGAGTCCATTATTACCCTGTGATTAGCACCCCATCTCTTTTTAAWTAAATCTGACATGGTGGTAAAGCAACCTCGAGCTCTGGGCTCATATAAGTCAGGAAAGAAGAAGACTGGAGAATCCACAGAAAAACTCTCGATCTCAATTCAAAGGAGAGAGCTAACGAACTTTACTTACATGTAGGTATGATACCAGGTCTAGGAATCAAACCTGAGACCCCAGAGTGAGAGGTGAATGCACTACCACTAAATCATCCCTGATTCCTAAGGAAGGATTATGGCTTTAATCTTTGTTAGGATAATGAAATTCTATGCTGGGACTTGAGGAATCCAGGAAGTGTGCTTTACCGGCTTCTTCGACCAGTGGATACAAACCAGAGAATCTACTTTGATCTGGACAGGTATGGACTATACCCTGGGGTCCAGAGGTTATTTATTCTGGCTCTGACATTTGCTGTTATGACAGGAAGTCGTGAGGAGAACAAACTTCTTTTCACTCCCTCAGGCCTTTGGTGCTTGCCTGTTACAACCACAGATTAAGTGAAATAAAACCTCTAGAGCCCAGGGTAAATAAGCATATTACTCAGTAATAAAATGCTTATCTTGCTTTGCCAATACTTCAACGATCAATAAAAATTTGATCCCCACTATTTGACCACTGGCTCCACCAAGAAAGAAGGAACTAACAGAAGGCGTATTGTTTTGTTCCAGTTTGAGAAAACTCTAAGGATCCTTCAACTTTTGTTTCTCAGACCTTTTCTAAGATAGCAATCACAGACAAAAAAAACCCTGTTGAATCATTCATGTAAGAGTAGGGGATTGTCTCCCGGTTCAACAGCCTATCCTATTTTAGAAGGATAATACTAATATACTAAAAATTCACTCATGCTTGTAAGCTGTATGGCTGCTTATAGCGCCTTAATAAGTTCTAAGTTTTCTGGAACTTTTTTTTCACAGGAGTGGTCGATATTTAGTGTCTGGAACAAGTGATGGTACTGTTTTGGTCTGGGACACGATTTTATCCCCAGAGGATGACCCAGACTCCTCAGAACCAACCTTGAACACTCACCAGATGTTTGTTGCCCATGGTGACTGTGTCAATGGTGTAAGGTGAGCAAAGTCCAGTGGTGATGGTTGTGGTAGACGTCAATCAAAGTGTTTCCAATATATTGTCAGGAAACACAAAGTCTTCGAGGGTGTGTCTATGGAATACAGTTATGGCAATGCCTTGATTGGCGACCACAAAAAAACCTACTTTATTGTGATGATGATTGTGAGTGCGTTGAAGAAAAACACTCTAACGTTTTCCTGGGAAAGATCCAAAATCCAATCTCAAAATGATGTAAAGTACCATTGCCACCATCACCATACACGACATCACATGGAAAATATGCCATTTTTTCTTCTTTTTTTTCCAGTTTTCATCCCAGTCTTCCAATTCTTGCAACGTCATCAGGTCAGCGCAAATTCCCACTTTCCACCAACACAGAGAGCAGTGACGAAGAAGAAGAAGCCAATATTCAAGATCGTGATGGGATTATAGACAATAGTATTAGATTATGGAGTCTTGTATAATCAATTTTCTAGGGTTTAGAAACTCCATTACCTTCCAACCCTGGAGCCCTGTTATTCAGAGTTACACTCTGCCAAATACCGAACGCCATGTTGGCACATGCACCTAATACATCAAGCCATTCATGCTATGCTATAGCTCCTAGTAATGTAATTGACAAGCTCAAACATGACATCATTTGCCTTTGAGAAGTTCAAAGGAAGAATGGTAACATCCTCATGGTGCAAAGGATTATTGGACTCAATTTCAAGACAAGACCAAAAAGCTCCAAAATATTGCTTTCCCTATTCATTCCTACAATTCTATGCATCATGAGCTTCTTACTAGGATTGATTCTCCCCTTTCCCAGTGGTYGTGTATTCTCTAGCCCCATATTCCTTAGCCAACACTAAACCACAGGTAGACTTCAATTTACAGTTGGTTGTAAAGTTAAAAGTTGTTTTTATTGTTCCTACTAAACCTTGTATGAACAATTTTAGAGTTGGGTTTTCCTTTATCCTTATCCACAGGAAGTCCAATTCTAAAATTGTCAAAATATTTCAAAACCAATGAAAATGGTAAGCATTYGTTCTCACGCCAAAAGGACCTTTGACTGTGAAACAATAAATACTGCCTCATTCTAATGTTTTATAATTCAAAAGGTCATTTTGGCCAATGTGAACGAATGCTAACCTATGAAAATAGTCCAGTAGACTAATACAGAAAATTTTAACATGTACAATATATTTGTAGTATTATTATTATTATTATTATTATTATTATTTGTAACTCGTGTCATCTACTCAGTTCCAATGCCTCAATCTCTTTTATTAATGATGCCTCTGCTTTCATCTTTTCAAGCTGTGAACATGTAAAAATAAAAAATAAATAGTGTTAATAATTGATAAACTTGTCATATTATGTTCCATTCTATGTGCTATTGGAAATCCTAGAGGGATGTTGAAAGTGAAAATTAGACCTAAGAGGAGGGCTACCCTATCTTTATGTAAACAAGCTTTTTTTTGAACCCTTCTAATTCCCTTTTTTCTTTACATTCTTCATTCCCTCGGCCTTTTATTCATTTTCCTACCTTTGCACTTCGCCCCCTCAATATATGAGTGACACAAGTTTTCAAAAATGTTGTGACTTTCAACTGGCTTCTACTACTCTTCCCAGTAGATACAGGCAGTTGTGAATCTTTAATAGCCATCGTAGAGCCTGTTATGTTAACCACAAGTGCATTTCAAATTGTCCACATGATGCCAATGTTAAAAATCTTAAATTGGGCTGCACTTTGGTCACATGGTTTAAATAAAGTACAATCTAGGCATCATTTGGTCGATTTGAAATACACTTGCACTTGATATGACAGATGCTATGAAGGCGATAAAAAATCAGTAGTGATAAAAAGGTAAATTATACGCCGTGAAAAGATGAAAAAACTTACTGACGTTTAGGACGCTAGTCTTTCGTCGGAGTTTATTACTGTTTCATTAGAAACACCGACACAGCTCACACTAGTTTTTAGCTAGTTATATCTTTGATAAAAAATCAATAAAATCACAACTGCCTTGGTCTGCTGGAAACAGTTGTATTTGAAACCAATCAAATGTTTCACAACAACACACCAATTAAATCATTTGACCATTCAATTTCTTTGTAAAACCATTTTACCTGATTTGCTTCCAGCTTCTGTCCAGCTTTTTGACTTTCTTTAAGGTCCTCAATTTGCCTTAATTTCTAGAAAGAGGAAAAGCACACACTGTAAGAACATAGATATTTTTTATCATACACAAATTTAGGGCAAATTTCTTAGGCAAATGAGGGGGTATAGTAACTTGTGAAAGACAAAAGTATCTCCTTGCTACAAARATGCGCATGTTGTAAAACTTTGCAATTACAGTACACCCATTTCCATGATTATGCAGCCAAAACAGCCCAACAAAATAACTCAGAATGTCAAAAATTTGATTCAAAGAAACCAATGAAAGCAGAAGTTTAGGCCTGTTGGTCGCGTAGTTGTCAAAAAATCTTTTCCTTGAATCTTGTTTTGAACTTCTTTGYCACCTTTTTCAGATTTCTTAGTTTCTTGTCATCAGCTATAGCTACAGGTTGTGATGGAGCACTGGTTGGTGCTGGTGGTCCTGATGTAGCTAAAACCTGAAAAAATGGGTATGAAGAAATAAAAAAAGGAAAAATGTTTAAATTGACACTTGACATTCACAATAGATAAACTTGTGGCCCCCTATGTTAAATGAGACAGGTCCACCATTTAACATGATCATCAAAGCCAAAGTGAAGGTCTAACCATTTGCRGATATTTTACAGTAAAGGCAGAACCTTATACTTAGCATTTAAGCCCTTAAGTATTATTAATTCATCATTAATCAACATTAATCTCATTAATGTGACCTGGGTTCGAGTCCCACTGGGCTTGGTGTTGCACATGTATATGTGAGCAGAGTTGTTTGTTGGTTCTCTCATTTGCTTCGRGGGTTTTCTGGTTTTTCTCCCTCTGCAAAAATCTTTTTTTTAAAGTATTAGTCAAGTCATGGGTAATTGAATTGTAACCATGACACTCAACAAATAACAGTGTAAGACAATGGAAAAACATTACTTCACTRGGGTTTGTTCTGAAAACATGTAGTAACAGTTGACAGCCTAAGAACCATAACCTAACAAGATAATATTCTCTTGTTGCCACTCCAAGTATTCTTTGGTACCTGATTTGCTACTTGCTCAGTTTCCTTTGCTCTAGCCTTTGCTTCTCGCTTCTTCTTGTTCTTTGCAGCTGATTTGGAGACTGGTTCTTGGTTCTTCTTGTTTTGGGGTGGTTCAAYTTCATGCTGTTTAGTTCGAGAAAATACGATACGATAAATATAAGGGGACTTGGAGTGGTTTTAATCATTTTAAGTCATTGGCATCCTAAGATTAACACCCTGTAGAATTGACCTACCAGTTTTATTGTTTTCATTCCTGTTCCTCTCAAACTGGGAGGGATGTATGCAGCCTTGGCTAAAAATGAATAAAAAATATAACAGCACTGGAATGATGATATTCAAGGAGCTCTAAGGTTGACCAATTTCTTTGTTTTAAAGCTCATACTGTAGACTCAACCATAATAATGCATCTTGTCAAGGATTACTAACAAGCAAAAATTAATTTTGATGATAACGATAATATTTAATAATATAATATTTATTTATAAAGCGCAAATACAAATCTGTTCTAAGCGCTAGTAAACAAACGACAAAGACAACGACAAAATAAAATWATTTACAAAGAATATGCTAATTTGAAGAGATAAGTTTTAAGTGTATTACGATATGTGTAATGTGCAAACATTGGGGAGGCTACACTACTGTCCATACAAATCAATGATAATAAAACAAGCTAAGATAAACTTACGTTGAGGTGATTGAGCAACAGCCATGGAGGAAGCAGCTTTATTAAAAGAAACAGGCTTCTCAGGAAATACACCTACTGGGAATGGCTGCCACAATGCCTGAAGAAATGGAAAGAAACGGAAAGACAGAATAACCATAGACTTAAAAATATAAGGTCAGATGAAAATCTCTAAGAAAATTTACAAAAAACACTTAATTTTCCTTTGGAAATATCTGAATTTTTTAAAGGAAAAAGTATTATAATTTTGCATGAAAACATTCAGGTCATTGCTATTAACTAAAGAGTTACCTGATAAAGTTCAGGGATATCTTTCTTGTACAGAAGACTTCCACAGTAGTGCCATACTTTAAAACTGAAAAGAAGTTTGAAATTACAGAAGTATGTGAGGTACAGTCAAATCCTTATGGGTAAACCTTGCTACCATACCATTTTATCCTGGTGATTTACTTGCAATACAAACACTCTGCTTACAGTATGCATGGGAATTGAGAGTTGTCTAGTGGTAGTATACTCCACTCTGAGATGTTGGGTTCAATTCCTGGATTCAGCATCACATGTAAGTAGAGTTTGGTAGGTCTCAGCTTTCTGGATTCAAGGGTTTTTTCCCGACTTTTGTGACTAGTTTATCTCCCTCGGCAAACTTAACACTCTTCATACCAATTTGATCTGTGAGTTAGCCATCAGCCCTGATACTGTTTTAGGGTATCGAGAAATGAGAAGTTTTTTGAAACTTACCCATTTCCCTCCCTGAGTCGGGGGGCTGTCGTAGCTGTTAGGATATGCTCTCCATCAGGACTCCACTCAAACATCGTTGTATCAGAGGCCTGCAATGATAATGATAATGATAATGATAATGATAATAATAACAATAATAATTATAATAATTATTATTATTATACAGTTTCTCATTAACCCCATATAGGTAACTGTCCAATTATTTTCTTAATTGGACAGGTCTTGTTGATATGGGATTAATTAGGCAGCTATATAATCAATAGGTAATGGGATTTCATGCTCCCCAATCAAGAAATAATTAGACTCGAAAAATTCCTCTAACTGCCAAATTGGGCTCGGCCTACGGCCTCATCCAATTTTGTCAGTCCTCGGAATTTTCCTCGTCCAATTATTTCTTGATTGGACAGCATGGAGTCCTATTACATATACTAAWAAWMAAAAAAAAAAAAAAAATGTTAATACTAAACTGTACAAAGATGCTAATAAACTCGTAGCCCTCAATAAATTATTTAAATTAAGCAGAAACAAAATTTGAGAGTGCTCAAGGCTGTTATCCTATTTTCTGTTGCTATGATTACCTGGAATTTGTTGATCATTTTCAAATCCTTTCGGGACCACATTTCCTATATAATGAGGATAAATGCATGATTACATGTAAACCTCTGATCCAAAGTACAGCTCATATAACTATTTTTTTAATAAGCAACCTTACCATCCAGCCTTGTAGATTTCCAAACCCACAGACACAGACAAGTTCAAAGTGTTAAGGACAATGTGATTTGTTAATAAAATTACATAAAACATGTCTACAGTGTAAAAAATCTTGAAAAAATTATGAAACATTGGAATACTTTGACGATACGACACAAGGATGGATCCAGCCAAAATTTTAGGGGGGGCTAATTGAGTTTAGGGGGCTAATTGAGTTTCTTTTGTCAACACGAAAACAATAAAAAAAGCATCTAATTCATCAGTTTTTTTTTTCTGCTGAAGCCCCCCCCCCACCCCTGGATCCGCCCTTGCGACGGCCATGTTACCAGTCGGCAAAACAAAACAAAGATATGGAAATTACTGTTATATAAACATTCATGTGTTTAATGTGTTTCTTTTATGGTTAACGGTGATTGATGTGCCATGTTAATTTATCTTTTAATGTAATCTCTTGTGGTGAGCTCTTACGATCCAAGATCACTGATATCGTCAAAGTATTCCATTATCCTTTGAGCCAAGAGGATTGGTCAAGTTTGAAATTAGTGTTGGCTTCCACATATATTTCATGTGGTTAAATTTAAGCAAAGTTAACTGGGAGTGGAGTGCTGGCCAGCGGTGTGAGACTTGCGCATGCGCAGTTGCTGCCTAAGGCCTCGTGGTTGCTGTAGCTGAGTTGCTGTTAGCCATTGCCTTCATATCGCAGTTTTGCTTCTGGTTTATACGCCTTTTTTCAAGCCATCCTTTCTCAATCCTTATTGTTAGTGGTTCTTCCAGCGTTTCGACATCTATTTACGATCGTCTTTCCATTGTTCCTTGTCCTCGTGTTAATTGTTTGGTCGATAAAAAATGCCCCGTAACACATGCAATAGCTTGGACAGCATGGTTCCTACCTCTTGTTCTTCTTCGCTGGCTCCTCCAGTTTCGGTTGAGTCGGCTTGTAATGGCGTCCCTACATCTACTGCGCCGTCTACTGAGTTGGTTACATCAGTAGTAGAAGCTTTAAAAGCACCTTTGGCGGCCATGGTCAACTCGGCTTTACTAGCGGCAGGCGTTGCCTCGTCATCGGCGGGTTCTGGATCTTTGCCCGAGAACAACGAGGGTTCTTCGACGCCTCTGGCCAACTGTACTAACCAATTGGCCCAGACTGGCTCATCTATGCCGTGGACATCCATGGCCGGGTCGCCTCCTTC